TTGTGTGCTAGGAAATTTGTACGACCAGTTAAATATCTCGAATGGTCGACTTGAAGACCAGATTTGCTGTACTTTTTAAACAGTCTGGATTTCAGATTTTTTAGATAAGAAAGCCGACGAGAAAACCAAGGGGGCTTATGAGAAACTTCTGGTGAGGGAAATGAAGGGACATACATGTCAAAAACTGAGTACATTATTTCATAGAAACGCCTTACAATGTCTGAGGGATCCTCTGTGGAGTTCAAGAAAGTCCAATCCGTTAAGGATAAGTGGTGGTTCATTTCTGTAAACTTAGCTTTTCGAAAGCAACGAAACGCTGCAGGCTCAGCTTCCGGACACAATAATAATGGAGTGGAGCCTTCGAGGGTTAGCTCCAAAGTGGGATGATAAGCGTCCTCAGGACTAGAAAGAGGGTCAATTCTAGTGACGTAGGCATTGGCAAACTGAGAGACAAAGATGAGGTCTAAGACGTTATTACTGCAGTTCCTAACAAAATTTACTTGTCCCAATGAATGGTCAATAAGACCATGAATTAAATCGTGGGGTGAGGTGGGGACAAGAACATTTGAATCAGGTAAGGGCATCCAGGAAATGGAGGGTAGATTAAAATCACCCGTGACGATAAGGTGGTCATTAATACCAAGGGAAGAATGAATTTCTTGAATTAAGGATAAATGCTGCATATAAATATCAGTGTCAGACCTAGGTGGAATATACGAGCATGAAACGTAGATAGAATAATCATAAACCTGGATGCGAACCGCCACAAACTCTATATCAGTGTCAGTTTTAGAAATGATATTGGAAACCAGATCGGATTTAACCGCAATGAGAACACCACCGCCTGTCCGTATAGGACGATCACGTCTAAAGATGGTATAGTTCCCTGAAAAAATCTCAGAGTCAGACACAGAGGAGTTGAGCCATGTTTCTGTAAAGACAATAACATTGGCATCGAAAGAGACACTATTGACGTGCAGCCTACTGAGCTTGCCAAGTAAACTACGAACATTCTGATAGTGAAGAACAAAAAGAGTCTATTAGTTTTTTGGAGGCCTAGTTGAGGGAGTTTGAGGCCCGCGAGCACGAGGAGTACTTTTGTGTTCGAATTCATGAACAATTGCATGCTTAGGCCACACAGAAGGATCAAGAGCCTTAGAAAATAGTTGGTCAGAAATTGTAATTTTAAACGAAGATATATCACGTCTTTCCTTAAAATTGAATTTGGAGACACTAAATTCAGTAACAGAAACATTCAATTTGCTGCTCAAGTGGGTCTTAACGTCGCCCTCAGAAGCATCTGGATTGAGGCGGGAAACAAAAATCTGTTTTTTTCGGAGCAACACCAGCCAAAGGCACCGGTCCGCGTTTGGCAACGCCAGAAATTGTCGACTGTTGGGGGGCCGCTTCTGCTAACGGCCGGCACCGAGATAGTGACCACCGGGGGAGCCACTGGGTTGGCATTTGACACCACCGACGCGTCGTTGATGGCAGCAGCACGCGACGTGGATGCCTGATCGGTGTAGACAGGCTGCTGAGCCGGGAGCATGGTGGCTTCGCTCCGTCCGAGAATGGCGACTGGTGCAACAACTTCAGCAGAGGCTGCAGCGTGCAACGTGGACGCCTGGACAACGTTGACAGGCTGCTGATCCAACGGCCTGACAAGATCTTCAACCATAGAAATTGTGATCGATGCTGCATCATCACCAGAGCCGTTATCCACGGCTGCAGGCTTGGCACGTGGGGTGAACTGCATAAGGCGGCATTCAGGGTCTGGAAGAGATACGAACTTATCAGACAGGTTGCTCCTGTTTTTGTTGTTTGCGGGGTCACTTAGCAGTTTAAGCGACTTGAAATGGTGTTCCGCCTTCTGGAAGCGAGTTGACAACTCCTTAAAGCCGGCCGCCAACGACTGAAACTCCAGGTGAGTCTGCCTCATGAAGACCCGCATATCGGATTTGATATGCAGGCAGCTCGGGCACGTCCAGTCCAATCCAGGATTTTCACGAATGCGGTCGGTGATACGCGATCCATTTTGCCCCAGATCGGCGCATCCAATGTGAGCGATATTATCACAGAGCCAGCAGTAGACAGTGACATGCCGCGAAGAAATTTTTGGCCGTTCGGGCACTTAGAGAAACAACACGTAGCCATTATTGGAATAAAAAAATACTTTATCCAAGTAAATTACGAATTGGATTAATTTATTTGCACGACGAGATGGCCGATCAAAACAAATTATACAATTGTTTTTTTGAAAAAAAAAAATTGTTTAGGTTTCGCGGCGAACAGACCGATCAAAACAGAAAGCGAAGAGCGCACAAATAAAAGCTTTTATCTAAGCGCCAAAAAATAAGAAATTTGTGTTATTGATTTAGCTAGTGCCAACAACAACACAAGGCGATGCGGCGATAAGCGGTAAACACAATGCACAAGAATAGGAAGGCAAGGCAATTGTAAAACCGAAATTGTTTTACGACGATAAAGTCACAGACTTTATTTACAAAGGTCCGGTCGTTTATTGATTATGAAGTTACATACATCTCAATAGGAACTGTATTTTTCTTTCTCGAAGAAACCGAACGCACGTGCATATGTAACCAGGGAGGAACTTACGGCAGAGCTCGCCTCACAGGCTAACTTCCCACCTGGTTCCGTTACCATCAAGAGCATCCGCTCCCTCGCAAGTGGAGGTCAGGTGTCCCAGAGACCGTGGCTGGTTCCATAGATAGTCTGGGGAGAGTGAAAGTCGGCTGGACGAGATGTCGAATCAAGGTGATAGAATCTCGCCCCAGATGCTTCCGCTGCATGGAGACAGGGCACATAGCGGCCAGATGCACCAGCACCTCTGACAGGAGCAGCTCCTGCTTCAGGTGTGGCCAGGAGGGTCATAAGATAGCCGCCTGCAAGAACAGTCCGCGCTGCTTTAGTTGCTCCGAGTCGAACCGTAGCGACACGAATCACCAGGCGAGTAGCCGCCACTGCCCCCTGGTGACGTCGCGTAGAGCAGACAAAACAAAAAGGGCATGATAATGGTTCAACTGAATCTAAGCCACTGCGCGGCAGCACACGACTTGCTGTCGCAATCGATCCGAGAACGCGGTGTCGATGATGCCGCTATCAGTGAGCCGTACAGGGTAGGCCCTGGCCCTCACTGGGCGGTGCTCTGGCAAAGCTGCCCTTTGGTCATGCGCCAACACACCCAAGCGAATGCCTGACGTTCGCTCAGAGAGAGGCTTCGTGCGTGCCAAGATGGCAGGCTGGTGGATGTATAGTGTCTACCTGGCACCGAGCATGTCACTTGCGGAATTTGGGGACGCCGTGGATCGGCTAGCCACAGACGCGAGAGGCCACACTCCGTCACTTTAACGCGTGGGCGGTGGAGTGGGGTAGCTCCCCTCACCAATGCCAGAGGCAGGACCCTCCTCGGGGCCTTCTCCTCACTCGACGTCACCCTCCTCAACTCTGGGGCGCAGCCCACCTTTAGCAAAGCCGGGGCGAGTTCGGTAATTGACCTCACGTTTGTGAGCTGCTCCCGGGCTAGCCAGTGCACCTGGGTCCTGAGCGACGCCTACACGGGGAGCGATCACGCAGCGATCCTCACCGCGCTGGACACTCGGCGAGCGCCTCCAACACCGCTGCCTCCCCCAGCACGAAGGGGGAGACTGGAAGCAAACGGCTGTGCAGAGCAGATGGCGGAGTCTGCTATGAACGAGCTGCAAGCCGCATGCGATAACTGCATGACTGCCAAGCGGGCCCACTCTCGTCACAGCGACTCGGTGTAGTGGTGGAACCATGCTATTGCCGCGGCCAGAACGGAGTGCATCAAGGCGAGGCGCCGCTACCAGCGCTCCTACCGCTCGAGCTCCCACCTGGAGAGGGGGTCCGAGTACCATCGGTGCCGCAAGGCTCTTAAGGCGGCAATCCGGGAAAGTAAAACCAAATGCTTCCTGGACCTGTGCGACACCGCGGACCGCGATCCCTGGGGGAACGCCTATAGGATCATCGTCAAGAAGATCCATGGGCCAAAACAGGGGGCCCCAGCCAGTCCTGGAGACGGAAATCCTGGCAGCGGCCCCGACCTCGTCCCCAACAGAGTCCTGAGACTTGCTCTTTCGCTTCGCCCGGACCTATTCGCGGAGCTCTTCGCCAGAAGACCCTTCCGCCCACCGACCGATCTGCCTGATTGACGGGGCGGGCAAGGTGCTGGAGCAGCTGATCCGGACGAGGCTTGAGACGGCAATTGCTGCGGCCGGCGATCTATCCGACTCCCAATTTGTATTCAGGAAGACTACGTCGACGGTTGATGCCATCTCAAAAGTGGTGGGCATCGCAAAAGCCGCCATTGCGGGACAACGGTGGAAAGGAGGCGCGAAGGAGTACTGCCTGATAGTCACGCTAATACGGCGAGATGGAATTGTATCCTAGACGCACTATCCAATTTCGGGGTACCCCCGTACCTCTTGGAGCTGTTGAACAGTTACTTCAGAGGCAGGACTCTGGTGTACGACTCTGATGGCGGTGCCAGATCGGCCGAGCTTTTCTGCGGAGTGCCGCAAGGGTATGACGGTGTTCTGCGGCTCCCGCTACCAGGTCGGACCGAGCTGGTGGGATTCGCCGTCGACATAGCCGTAGTCGTAGTCGACAAGGAACTCGCAGGAGCAGAAGAGCTGTGCGACAGGAGCATCAGCCGCGTAAACTCGTGGCTGTCCAATGCTGGCCTACAACTAGCGTCACAGAAAACGGAAGCCGTGCTGGTAAGCAGCCGGAAGAAGGTGGAGGTCGCAACCATCCGAGTGTGCGGGGCCTCGATCAGATCGTCCAGAGCCATTAAATACCTGGGCGTGATGATCGACACGAGGCTTTCCTTCCGCGAGCACCTAGGGTATGCGAGCTCAAAGGCCACCACAGCGGTGAGAGCAGTCAGCAGAATAATGCTGAACCACAGGGGCCCGAAGCAGGCGAGCAGGTTGCTACTGTCCAGCGTAGCACGAGCCAGCATGCTTTATGCGGCACCAGTCTGGGGACATGCACTGGCCTTTAGGACGGTGTCCGACCAGACCGCGCTTGTCCTAGCCGGGACTCCGCCACTGGATCTGCTCGCAGCAGAGAGGGCCAGTATCCACGGCCAGACGATTGGTAGAACGCTGACACCTCGTGACAAGCAGGTGCTACGCTTAGCGGCGAAAGACGCCACCTTGGCAGCGTCCAAGGGAAGATGGACGTATCGGATGATTCCCCAGTTGGATTGCTGGCTGAAGAGGAAGCACGGTCAGATAAACTTCCACCTGACCCAGATCCTCAGCGGCCACGGCTGCTTTCGGAGCTACCTGCGGAGATTCGGCCACGAGGAAGACGACTCCTGCACGCACTTCCAAGGACAACTGGAGGAGTCGGCAGAACACACGGTGTTTAACTGTGCGAGGTTTGCCGGTGAGCGAGCATCGCTGGAGGCCAGGCTGGGCAATACCATCACAGCGGAAAACCTAGTTCCGCTGATGTTGTTGTCCGAAGCGAACTGGCAGGCCGTGTCGGACTTCGCAGCGAAGGCTATGACGGAGCTCCGAGCAGAGGCGCGACGCAGGAATCAGGAGGCAACATAGGTCGGGATCAGCGCCCGCGCGAAGCATTGCTTCGCGGCCGTACCGCGCGAGCAAACCGTCCCGATATCTGTGTGACCCAACCCCTCTATCCCCCCACATTTTTGTATATTCTTTGCTTCAATAAACGAATTAAAAAAAAAAAAAAAGTGCGAGTGCACACCTTTACACATATGTACGTCGGTCCGCCTATATACTACATTTTTTGCACGCCTACACACACATACATACATCGAGACTAGTGCGAGTGCATACTTTTTACACATATGTAAGTCGATCTGCTAATGCATAAATTTTGGCACACGTGCACACATATCTCCGCTGTTGCATATGTACATTTTTAAATTAATGTCGGTCCGCTAAAGCGCCAAAACATAAACCGCAGTTGCAAAAATAAAAGCTCAACAGTTGCATATGTACATTTTTAAATTAATGTCGGTCCACTGAAGCGCCAAAACATAAACCGCAGTTTAAAATATAAAAACTTATTTTTTTGTATTCAATCATAACCAACACAAGGAGACATAACCCTACTTTGTCCTTTCATTGGCTTATATGCACCCCATTTATTCACTTTTACAAGGAGACATAACCCTAATTTGTCTTTTCTTTGGCTTATATGCACCCCATTCATTCACCTTTACATACACAAGGAGACAAAACCCTACTTTGTCTTTTCTTTGGCTTATAGGCACCCCACTTATTTTAAACTTTACAAGCACACGGCGACATAACCCTACATTGTCTGCTAGGAGCTAAAATCAACGTTTTTTTATAAATACACCCCAGATCACTTCCCAAACTGACGAAGTAAAATAACCACACTTTGTCTGATATCACCCTCTGGAACTCTTTACAATTCTAATTACCATATTACAACTATTGAGTATAGTAACGCTTCAACTCACTGTCAATAAGTCTGCAGCCTTCCCCTATTGGGCCAAACGATCAGATTCTGGTTGTTTTTATTCGATTTTTGCCTAATTTTTCACAATGTCTGCCCAACAAGCCGAGTGCTTCAGTTTTGTGCTAAATCTCCCATCTTCACAATAGAAACCAGAGAATCTCTCGTTACTGAGAGATAACGTCGTTTGGACACACTTTTTGCTGAAGCAGATCAAGATTTTCGAAGCTTGATGGTATCCACTGACGAAGAGCTCTCTGCTGAAAGGGAAGAGCAAATCATTTTGACCTTTTCTACATGCGAAGACGAGTTTTATAGAGTTAAAACTCTTTTAAAAGATCTATGTCGTGGAATCCAAGGAGAGGTTCAATTTAATTTAAGCGGGGACCCAAACTCGTAAGCCCTTGCCAACACATCGATGAATTCATGCCATATTAAGGTCCCTCCCTGCGACACCGAACTTTTTAGTGGTTGCTACGAAGATTGGCCCACCTTTAGGGACATGTTTACTGCTGTATATTGCAATCACCCCAAGCTCACAGCTGCTCAAAAATTGTATCACTTAAGAAGTAAAACCCGAGGAGAAGCTGGCACTATCGTCAAACAGTTTCTACTGTGCGATGAGAACTTCGCTCCCGCGTGGGACGCCTTGTCCAAGCGTTTCGAAAACAAACGTTTGCTAGTAGACACGCAGCTAAAAAGGCTCTTTTCCATGGATAAGGTTTATAAGGAAGATGACGAGGGGATCAAGAGCATTCTGTCCACAGTGACACACTGTCTTTGAGTACTAAAGGCTCAAACAGTTCAAACTGAAAATTGGGACCACATGCTGGTTCATCTATGCTCATCAAAATTACCCGATCAGACGCTCTCCCTTTGGGAACAATCTCTCGACTCCCGAAAGGATTTGTCGACTTGGCAACAAATGAATAAAAATAAATGATGAATGATGATGAGTAGAGGTACTAGAACGTCTTTCTTCCATTAAGCCTGCGAAATCTTTTCACCAACCACCCCTCAAGTCATCCAGCAAAATTAATGCAGTAGCACACACCACGATGGCATCAGACCCATGTAAACATTGTAAGGAATCACATCACGGCGTTAGTCCGTGTGCTTCATAAAGGAGAACTGTTCTGCCTCCGAGCCCTGATCGATCAAGGGTCCCAGTGCACCTTTATCACAGAAAAGTCACAACGCAGACTTAAGCTGCGCGCTCTTGAACACTACACAAGCATCTCCGGAATGGGAGGCAAACTTGTTAACTCGTCCTCTAAGATATGCCATCTGTTACTCACAGACAACCTCACACTAAAGAATTTTTTTTTTTTTTTTATTTTTTTTTTTTTCGCGCGGGGTCCCGCTTTCACCTCCCGCCCAACCGACCGAGGAGCGCAGCCGCGTGACGTACGGCACGAATCGCGAACTAGATAGACGCGGTGAATGAAAGAGGAAAAGAACGAGGAAACGTTACGAGAGTACACAAATAATAATATATAAGTAAAAACGCATGCAAAATAAATATAAAAAAATATAATATAATGTAACTAAATAATAACTACGATAAATAAATAGAAACGCATGCAAAATAAGTGTAAAAAAATAATATAATGTAACTTGTGACGGTTAGGTCATTCCTCGGGGCTCAAGGATGGCCAGGGTTCGTCTCAGAAATTTATTTGTTGTCTGAGGTGGTTGCTGAAAGAGATGCCGACCCGGTCCCAGAGTAGAGCGCCGAGAAATATGCCGTAACTATAATTATCTGTTTATTGCCTCCAACATTACAAGTGTTAAAAAGATTGGATTTAGTCTGCTGCCGTGGGTAGTCGCTCTGGAACGCCGCACTTCAGGGTCAGGTACATCCTTCCCGCTCGGGTCGACAGTGTCGGTGAAACGCCGGTGCGCGGATGCCCCTCAGATCTCCTAGAGTGAGAATAGCTGGTGGAGGCCCTCAGGTCTGCCAGTTAGTGGAATAACTGGTTAGCGGAGACCCTGAGATCTTCCAGTTAGCGAGCAGATTTGTGGAGTCCCTAAGGTCTTCCAATCTTTAGAAGTTTGTAGAGGCCCTAAGGTCTTCTAAGATGGAGAAGTTTGTAGAGGCCGTAAGGTCTTCTAAGATGAGAAGTTTGTAGAGGCCCTAAGGTCTTCTAAGATGAGAAGTTTGTAGAGGCCCTAAGGTCTTCTAAGATGAGAGGTTGTTAGAGGCCCTAAGGTCTTCTAAGATTGAGAAGTTTGTAGAGGCCCTAAGGTCTTCTAAGTTTGTAGAGGCCCTAAGGTCTTCTAAAAGAGAGAAGTTGTTAGAGGCCCTAAGGTCTTCTAAGATTGAGAAGTTTGTAGAGGCCCTAAGGTCTTCTAAGTTTGAGAAGGTTGTAGAGGCCCTAAGGTCTTCTAAGATTGAGAAGTTGTTAGAGGCCCTAAGGTCTTCTAAAAGAGAGATGGTTTTAGAGGCCCTCAGGTCTTCTAAGTTTGAGACGTGCACGGAGGCCCTAAGGTCTACCGAGATATATAGAGACTTATAGGGAGGCCCTTAGGTCTTCCAATATTGAGACGTACAGAGAGTCCCTAAGGTCTTCCACAAGTTATAGACGTAAGATATGGTCGGGGTCCGACTATGGGTTACCGCTTACCAATATACCTTACTTAACCGTGCTCCTTGGGTGACTCCTTCCTGTTGGCTTCCCCTTATCTCCGGGTAGAGGACTTGGCCGATCGCTGGCCGAAAAACTGAAATGCTTTCCAAGGGCTGAGGCTCGCCTTATATAGGGCTCTGGCAGGGTCGAGTGTGACCGCCGCACCCGAAGATATTTTGCCATAATAGTGTGGCCAGGCCCTTCCTGGGCCAGTGTGACCATTTGGGCGCGATCATGGCGCGCGCGCTCATTCAATTCAAATCTATTCCATATTCTATATTCATTGTTTTCTATTGTGTAATCCTTATTTTATATCTTACGTATATATTTGTGCGCGTCTGCGCGTCACAAACTAAATAATAACTACGATAAATAAATAAGAACGCATGCAACATTAGACTACGGTGATACGCTACGAGCTAACTCAACAAGTATTAAAGTTTTTAGTACAGAAGGGCTATCGCTACGAATTATAATGTCAGAGAGGCGGTTGTAATCCGTACATAAAACCCTAAAGGGTTCATGTACTTCAAACTCCCGCCTACAGTGATTTACTACTAAAGGGATAAGGGTTCTAGATGTTAGTCGGGGAACGTGGAAGCTAAGCTGCCCTAAAAGAAAGGGGCTTTCAACAACACCGTTTTTTAGGTTATGAAGGAATACGACACCAAGCATCGTTCTACGGTTAGCTAGGGAGGGTAAGTAAATTAATAGGAGTCTGCTTGAATACGACGGTAGCCTCTCATCAGCATCCCAAGGTAGGCCACGGAGGGCGAAAAGTAAAAAGTTCTTTTGTACAGATTCAATACGGTTAATATGGATTCCGAATTGAGGACTCCAGACGCATGAACCATACTCCAATATAGGGCGAACTAACGAAGTAAAAAGGGTCTTCGTTATATAAGGGGAATCGAATTCCTTCGACCACCTCTTAATAAAACCGAGCATGCCCTTGGCTTTATTAACCATGCACGAAATATGTTCAGAGAACGAAAGTTTAGGGTCTAAGCGAACGCCTAAATCATCAACAAGAGATATTCTTTCAAGAGCGCAATCATTAAGCATATAAGTGGCAAACTGGGGAGTGACACGTGAAAATGCCTTCAGCTTGCATTTAGAGCAATTAAGATGTAATAAATTAGCACGACAACATGCTTGAAAGTTATTTAGATCCGATTGCAGGTCTGACTGGCAAGAGCTGTCCTTATACTGCAAGCATAGCTTAACGTCATCAGCGTACATAAGTACTTTAGAATTCGTTAGAACCAGCGGGAGGTCATTGATAAACAATGTAAATAGCAGCGGGCCGAGGTGGCTACCCTGTGGGACGCCAGAAGTGACTCTGAGGAATTTGGATAGAGCATTTTTAAACAGAACCTTTTGAGTTCTGTCACTCAAATAACTCAAAATCCATTTCAGAAGATCGACAGGAAACCCGATTAAGTCAAGCTTCCTTACAAGAAAAGAGT